GTTATCTGTTTAACATTCGCGTGCTATCCTTTGGATTCACTTTTTGTTGGTGCTGCACGTGTGCCGGGAGCGTTTGTAAGGCATTGTCTTTTATCTGCTTCCGTTAGAATGCACTAACATCTAACGGCAAATTTAGTTGCATTTCGTATCTCAATACGGCGATATTTCTTTCTTTGTGGAAGAGCAAATGCAGAATGGAATGTTCCACATGAATCGATACTATGTCAGGTGTTTTATTTTACTTGTGATATAACGTTTCCAAAAAGCCAAAGTTGACTATTTCCAGATAACTGTTGCTTGTTTGATCAACATTGTGAATCTAACAGCAAATGAATCACACTAGCGAAGAGTACTGTATCGTGAAAAGTTTTGGTAACAGTCTGTTTGTCTGTCTGCTAATCCTTGGACCGGAAAGTACCACTCGGATTGCTTCTATCATTGATTACGGTATCCTACCTGAAGATAGTACCTAATAGTTATTACATGGTGTTTTCATTTATTTTAACTGCCTGGAGGACTCGCCAAAATAATAATAATATAAAATTTGCATAATAAAATAAATGGTAAGTATAAAATTAAAAACAAAATAAGAATGTTATTACAAAGATTTTTTGATATTCTCGACCACTGCCGTGAAAACCTTTGCGTTTTTTGTTTACTACTCTTATCGTTTATCTAAATTTGGCAAATTTTTTATGTTATTGTATGATTTTCAGTACGAGTGTTTGATTCGAATAGTTGCATCGGTTTTTAATAGTGCGTATACATTCACTTGTCTGATTATTTTGTGCGGAAACAATGACCTAGTGAACATAATACTAACATACGGAGATTGCCAACAAAATGCAGTCGCAGCATGCAGACTGTATGCGGAAATGTTTTGTTTAAGAAATCATCAGCGCCATCTATTATTATCTTATCTTATTATTGCTGTTAGGAAAACATAACTGTAACAAATTCGTATAGATGACGAAATAGGTTGGGTAGAATACGTTAAACTTGACTAAAAACAAAAAAGGCTGTAGTTTTTTTAAATCTATCCAGTGGCGGCGGAACTACGGACAAAAAACGAAGAAGACAAAAATCGATCAAACCGAAGTTCGAATATTATCGAGTGTTCAACACTTCCATCGTTTAGGTAATCATAGATTTGGAAACTTGGTTCAATAGCGGCGGAAATAAAATTGCTGGAATATAATGTTACAACGTTTCAGACATTCCTGGGGATGAAAATTGTAGGTTGGAAGCGTAAATGGTTGTACATTGTTGCATATTTGGTGTCAGTCAAAGAAATATTATTAAAAAGTTGCTGATCTCACTGATACTATTCACCTGTTAGGCATAATAAGTCACACATTTTCCCTACATCTGCCTCGGAAACAAATATGAAAGATTTTCTTTATATAGTTTGATATGTAGAGGTCGAAGATTCATCGTAGTTAATTGTTAATTAATGTTGTGGAACATCATCCCCTCAATCAAAATTACCCGTGTGTCCTTCACACTAGATCAAAATCCTATACTTCTCTGGAGAAACGCGCAGTTTTGACCTTCCGCTCTAATGGACTCTCCATCATCACATCCTTCAATAACCTCATCAATTTCGGCTGATCAATCTTCTCGGTATTGCCTAAAATCAGCAAAGTCGATTACCGACTTGCGATTTTAATTAGAAACGTAAATGGAAGAGGGCTGGATATCAGCAAGGTCGACGTTTGACATTTAATGAATTTGAAGGTGATTCCATCGAAACAGAATAGATATGACGTTTGAAAGTGATAAATTTTTGTAATGCCACCCAAAAGCACATTATTTTGCATATAATTAACAACTTCGCGTCTTAAAACAAAGCGTTCTTATAATATGAGGTTATGTTGTTAGCAGAGGGTCTCGTTGATATTGTTAAGAAAATTAGTTAATTTAGCTTATTTCTACATTTGAGGAAAAAATTTCCTGCGCATAGATTTTTCGTTCATTGTGACTGAGAATCTAATTCCGAAATCATTCTGTTATAAACACTACCACAAATCGTCGCCCAAAACACCAAGTGTCGTAACTGACATTTCCATAATTTTACAGGAGAGCTATAACAAGAAAAAGGGATTTCTTTGAGAATCTGGATGTCATACAATAAAAAGTGTATCGCAAAACGTTTTGAGCCTGTCATATTCAAATCTACCAGTTTTCAAATGCAGCTAGCAAAATGGTTGTATGATGAATAACTTTTGAGAAAAAAAAATGGATAAGTCAGATACGTCATTTCGTGTTGTCAAAAATAATTATTTAATGATGCGACGGAAGATACGACGAAAAGGGAGAGAGACAATTTCTTGTTAATAATTATTATTGACAGAGGTAAGGCACTAATAAACAAAAAATATATAAAATTCTCAAAATCTATATAAAAAATGAAACCCAAACATTATCATGAAGAAAGTCTTCATAAAATTTTTTTATTCCGGTAGTCTTATCACGGGATTTTTGCCATTATATAAAGCAAGGAAGTGATTATATTCCCTATTAGAAACATTTATTGACGAGGCGTATACTGGCCTAACTGACATTTCACTATTTGCCGCGCCTCTTTTTAATTGAATAAAATCCTACCCTTGTGTCAAATGGCTCGTCTTGGAAAATATTTTATCTTGGTGTTACTTAAAATCCATGAAGCCTCTAAAAGTTAGGGGACATACTTTCCGTCTTGCCAAATTGATAATCGGTAGTAGCTGAGTCGGCTCAAAGATATCCCCTGCTTTTAAAATTGCATGAGAAATGCTGCTACGGGCAGAATCCCATTCATTTTGTCCATGGTTTATAACAGAGACTCTTAAAGCTATCTCCATCAGCGATGGAAGGATACTCAAAACATACAGGAGCATTGCGACAGCTATAGTGTTTTTACTCTGGCTATAGCACCCGTCAGAAAATAAAACAACTTTTGTCTTATCCTGCCTGGAATATTCCTCTAAAATTTTAAAAAGGCAGGCCGCTATCTCCGACGGTCCTCTCTTACCTGCTGTTTCAGGCCACACAAAGCAATAACAATATTTACTATACTACAACTATTTAAAACTGTAATGACTCATACGCGTGATCAACACGTGATCAGAGCTCGATCCCGGCTTCCTTCCAGTACAGCCGTATAGCGTACGACATATGTCGTTTCTGTGGCTTTGCGGTGGTCAACAGCACAGACAGAGATGGAAATAATGGCTGATTGTTCTCCGCCGGTAGAACCAATGAAATCAAAGACGCGCCTCGACCGGCAGACTCATAGGCATCGGCAACGCATTGGAACGTGTTTCGTTGAGCGATCGCATTAGTGTGTTTTTATAAGAATTGTTGTGAGATTGTTGTTGTGGTTTCTGTGATTACTGTTTTGGTTATACTTAACCATGGAGAGTACAAATGGCACGAGTGGAAGTACTGAAAGCCAGGGAACAAGTAGACGGCTTCGTAAAGCACTGAAGAGGGACGCGAAAGAAATCGTGCTCAACGTGTTCAATTATCTGAACAGAACTATGTCGCAGGGAGATGCACTCGCGCGTTGTGAAAGTATGACAGGCGTTCCAGAGTGGACCATTCGCAGGGTGGTGCATGAAAAGAAGAAAACTGGAGCTACTACTGATCCAAAGTTTAATTTGAAGGGACGAAAGGCCGTTAAATTGGATGACTATAGCAAAATGGCGTTAAGGCGAACCGTACATTCATTCTTCTTTAGGAATGAGATACCAACCCTCAAGGCTGTACATGCAGCGATCAAGGAAAATGAAATTATACCCCAAATGAGCGTCGAGGTAATGAGGAAATCCCTGCACGAAATTAATTTTCGTTACGAAACGCGTAATCGGAAGTCAGTATTGATAGAGAGACCTGAAATAGTCTCCTGGCGTCGAAAATACCTACGCGAAATGATTGAATATAGGCGATAAAGCAGAAAAATCTATTATTTCGACGAGACATGGGTAAATGCAGGTCACACAGTTAAAAAAACCTGGATAGACAAAAACGTAGTGAGTACAGGTCTTCGTGGACCGTCGTCAGGGAAAGGTCAAAGATTGATCGTAACTCATATTGGTAGCAGATAGTGGCTTTTTAGAAGAGTGAGACTTGATTTTCGTCTTTAAGAAAGGAGGTGATTACCATGACGAAATGAATGCCAGCTGTTTCGAGAGCTGGTTTCAAGGGGTGCTTCAGCGAGTTGAGCCCAACTCTGTGATCATCATGGATAATGCTTTCTACCATAGTCGTCGAGCCGAACGTGTACCGACTATGGGATCTCGAAAAAGTGACATGCAGCAATGGTTGCTTGAAAAATGAATCCCGTTTGACGATTCATGTGTGAAAGCGGAATTGTATGAAAAAATTAAACAGCACAAACCTGCGAACATAAGTTACGTGACTGATGAGATGGCCCGTCAATGTGGTGTCACTGTGCTGCGGTTACCGCGCTACCACTGTGAACTTAACCCAATAGAGCTCATCTGGGCTCAAGTGAAGGGTTATATTGCGCGCGATAACACAACCTTCAAATTACCAGACGTTAAGGTTTTACTTGAGACTTCCATACAGCTAGTAACGCCCGAAGCTTGGCAGAATGCTATCCGTCATGTTGTGAAGGAAGAAACAAAAATGTGGCAGCTTGACCACCACATCGACACCATCATAGAGCCAGTTATAGTCAATTTCAACGAGGAAAGCGATAGCGACAGTTTATTACTGTCAGATGTAAGTGGAAGCGACGATGAATAAAGGTAATTCCCAAATTTTTGACTTACAATATGTTTCAAACCACTCTTCATTAAGCATGTGACAAATCTAGTTCACCCATGTTAAACATTCATACCCCGCCTATGAACAGTCGACTACTGGTAGTTAAGTGATGTTCACGTGAACATCGATGAGTCATTACAGTTTTAGATAGTTATAGTATAGCTAAATCATACAAAGTAAAGTTCAGCAGTACAGCATCGCCGTAGAAGGATTAGGAGACCAGAAGATCACGATGTCGTATCTGCAAATAATCTTAGATAGGACAGTTCGTGACTTTCTTTGAATGCGCTAAGTCAAATACGTTGAAATCAAATATTAAAATTACTCAACGTTGGTTGAAAATTCAGATACGACACCTTGTGAGAAGGAAGTGGCGACTTTATAATGCTCATACCTGGCCTAACTCAAATTTGCAAAAAATGTCAGACAGGACACTTCGTGTTTTGGGGGACGAAATGGATGCCATTTCTTCAACAATACATGACTTTTGACAAGTGCATCACCAGCTAATCTCATTTCTAACCAATAGGTTACCCAACTGGATCTATGAGAAGGAGAGAGCGACATAGTATGTTTATTGTTAAATTTGTCGGACTAATGTGGTTTTATAGGGCATGATTTTACCACAAGATGACCTAAATAGTTGTCTCATGCCTCATCGTCCTAATATTGACTCTCGATTACTTTGGTTTCATTTCCCACATTGGAAAAAACGCAACCGGTTGGAAGTAAATATACCAGTAACCTTTATTAAATTGGTCATGCAATCTTTTCAACCTATCTTGTGGTCGGATTAACGTAATTATAACTTAAAATGTCATTAAGCATTTTTTGTTCACATTTACTTTTGTTTCGACATTTATTCATTGTGGAGACATTCGTTTGCAGCCTACGCTTTCCAGTCAATAAAGTTATAGATCCCTCGTTTCGCGAGAAAAGTCACATAGCTATTGAACTTTTAGGCCTTTACGCGGAATTTTATGACAGTTTGGCAACACAGCCTGGGTACATGCAGAGTAATCTATGAGCGAATCGAAAAACCAACGGCGGTCTCCGCATAGATCGCTGTTTTTATTTGTAAGTCAAGAGTTAATCGCAAAGTTTTTGCTAAACGCACTGATATGCAATGTTAAAAACTAGTCAAATCTTACGTATTTTGTTGCTAAACAGCAAACTTGTAAGTTTGCTTTTAGCAAACTACGTAAGCTGTGACTAGTTTTTATCGTATTATATTAGTATGCGATGAGGTAACAAATAAAATGTTGCATCGGCTTCTCAACTATAATGCAGATGACTACCAAGGTCAATGGGACCGACCGGAGAACTATAGTCATTCCGCGAAGTTTCTTCTCTTGAAATGAGTGGTCAGTTCTAGCTTCACGAAAAAAAGGCCACGTATTTTTTATATACCAAAGAAGCCGCAGGTAGAAACCTAAACACCGAAGTACAGCAACTGTCACAAAGACGCTAAGGCCATCGAGGTTTAGCGGGTCCGTTTAACAGGTCTCTAGAACTCGGAAACGTCATAGAAAAGAACAGAAGAACAAAGTGCAGACAAAAATTCAAACGTTCACAAAAAAAATTCTATACACAACACTGTCTTTCCATATTATCCTGATCATCTGTTGAAACCGTGTACAGAGAGTACAGAACAACTGGAGCGTTTTGCGTCAAAGGCAATATTTGTGCAATTTAACTGGCTTAATTGAAAGGATTTCCAAACATTTTTGATACCGTAAGTCGCGCTTCCTCCCATAAGCGTATCGCGAAAAGAGGTTTAAGGTCCCGTTCTGATTCTCTATGTTATTTACAATTAGATTTCTTTTTTTATCATAACAAAAATATATGAGATTCAAGCAATGTGTAATAGCTACAAGCATAGCGGTTTTCAAGGACCAGTCGCAAATTGCAGAACAGCAAAGTAGCAAAAACGCTAGCTACTGGTTGCAGTAGAATCACCGATTAAACGTGTTGCAAGAATGAGAGATGTAATAATATGTATGGATGAAAGTCTATTAAATTAATGATTCCCTAAATAAACGTTGTATCAGTAATGTGATCGAGATCCCGCATCTGTTCTCCGATCTCAACGTCTTCCACACATTTACGCCAGTTACTTTAGGCACTGCTTTTTCAAAAAGAGCCTGTCTTTATGTCCTTCATTTTAAATGTGGTGTTTCTCCTAGCTACGAAACTTTTGACTAGAACCCACACTAATTCAATGGGATTAAGGTCGCATTGATAAGCGGTAAATGAAGAATAATGACGCCGTGTATACGCAATATCTTCAATGAGGTACTTTATAAATTTCTGTTTGTGGAGAATCACTTTGTGAGGAGTGAGAAAGCAATTCGCAACGATCGGAACGAAATAAAGGAATCCGTTGGAACGAAACGAACCCAAGGGAACCGAATCCTTCAATGGACCGGGATCGTCCTTTTTACCAAAACTCGGTGTAACTAACCTCAAATGAGTGGTTTAGGTGAAGTTTATTTTGTTAAAGTGCAAGTGCAAACAAGGGATTGTAGATTCTAGCGCCATCTATAGGACAATATAAGAACTCGTTTCGTTTAGATTCTAAATTTATTTTTGTGCTCTGCTGCTGTCTCATAGAAGACGCTAGTTTCATTCAGGTCTCTTCAGGTAGAATCCGTTAATCGATGATAATACTATTTATTCTGTGGTGACAATTTGCTCTCTTAATATACAGATTAAATTAAATCCCCCTGTAAATAATGTTTTCCGACGTTTATGTTGGCAGATGCTTCCTCCGCTTCCACTGGAAAATTAATAGACGGCAAACAAGCAGAGCGTAACGAGAGTTATGCAACCAGATTTACATTACCCGTCGACTTGTTAATCTCCGTTTGGTAGAGTTACATAGTTTTCGATAAATGCATGGTGGCAAGTTTTCAAATGAACACCCTGTATACAGGGTGACTTTGAAGTTGAGTCATTAATTTTCAGATAATGATTGTAGAAGGAATATGTGTGTAAAAATAAAAAAAAAATAAAAAAAATTTTTTACCTTGTTTTATAAAGTATCCTCCCGACAAGTATTTCAGTGCGGACCTGTATTTGATCGTGAGGTCTTGGAGCACCCGCATGCAGTCCCCTGTGTGGTCTTAAGTCACCTGATTTACGAGCCCGTTGTACTACATTAACAAAGGCACGAGGGGTTGGTTGCACTCGATTGGGAAACCGATCCGCATAAACATGTGCCATTTTTTATTTCGTTTGAGCCACGCAACAGACACCACTATTCAAACGCGTTACCGACTGACACTGACTGTATACAACTGACTAAAATAATTGTAAAAACATCGTTCCAAATTCTTTCGCTTTTTTGTTTCCGATGCGATGAACCAAACACGAGCACATAATATTATTATTGAGACAGGGCGGTACTCAAACTTCCAAAGGGCTATAACTTTGTTACTTTAATTTTACCAGAACAATGGTAAAGGAAAAAACATTTCTTTTGATCAGATCTACTCACTGTTAAAATAAATGACTCAACTTCGAAGTATATAAATGAAGGTATTGGTTGCGTATTTCTTTCGGTTGAAGCGACAAGTTGCTGCCCTAATGTGCGAAAGTACAAATTACATTTCCATCAAATATTAGCGCTCATTCAAAATCATACGAGTCCTCAAAAAACAGTCACATTATTATAATTGGCTGGTTCATGGGACTTGGTCTAGACAACACGTTACCCGTTATTGATCCATTCGGTTTTGGTGCATAAAACTTTTATAGACATTTCGTGACAATATGAACCACATTATCGAATGCCTATGAAAAATTCAGCGACGTATTTAATACTATACCCCATATGTACTCTTTTGTGTAGCGTCAATTCCACACTGAGATTGACGACGAAAAGCACATTTTTACCATAAATTCGTTCCAACGGCACTTCAGAATGTTCCACTACAATATTGACAGCATCACTCTTAATAGCCAAATGTAAATTTTATGGTTTCTCTGAATCATCAGTTGCTCGAATAAACAGCTTTTTAAAGAATAGATCGCAAAGAGTTGTCATCGATATGAACACATCTTCCGAGGCTTTAATTTCTTTGGGAGTGCCTCGAGGGTCGGTTCTTGGGCCACTTCTTTTTATTTTACATATCTCCGATCTTGATATTCAGTTTTTTGCAGATGACTCGCAGTTATACAATAATTTTAATACTGACAATATACTAAGTGACATATAAATCCGAACACCCAGTTTAAATGGTTTTATTTTAATAAAATTTTGTATAAGTACTTAATGAAGCATAATAAGTAAATGATAAAAATTTCAAAATGATTGCACTGCTTTAAAGCCCTTTGACCTTTAATAATGTGTGGATGCACCCTGATGTGCTACGCATTCTCCAACGCGCCTAGGCATGCTTTTGATCAGGTGGTCAATGTCCTCCTGTGGTATCTCATTCCAGGCAACCACCAACTCCTCTCGAAGTGCTTCTAGAGCCTGAGGACGTTGCAAATTGAGCAATCTCCTACCCATCATATCCCCCACGTGCTCAATTGGGGATAAGTCGGGAGATCTTGGTGGCCATGGTAACAATGTGACATCATTATGTTGAAAGTCTATTGTGACTGCAACATGTGGTCGGGCATTATCTTGTTGGAAGGTTGGATCTGCCAGGGGGTCAAGATAGGGTAAAAGATGGGGTTCTAGAACTTCGTGGATATAACGCTGCGCGTTCATGTTACCTCTGATGAAGATTAAAGGTGACCTGGAACCATAAGCTATAGCACCCCAAACCATAACTCCAACAGTGTGATGAACATGTCTTTCAACAAAAAACTGTGGATTCCTCCTTTCACCACGTCGCCTTCTAACCCTGGCACGACCATCGTGCATGCCTAAACAAAATCGAGACTCGTCACTAAAGACAATACTGTTCCATTCCTGATCCCAGAGTGACCGTTGTCTGCACCACTCAAGGCGATTACGTCGGTGTTCTCGAGTTAACGGGAGGACCCAGTGTGGCCGGTATGAAAACAAGCCAAAACTTCTCATTCGTCGGTAAACACTTCGCATGCCAATAGGTCTTCCGTGTTCTGCAAACCATTCATTTGCAATGGACCTGGTAGTGGAGAAACGGCCCCTTAAGGCCAATAATCTTAGGCGGCGATCTTCACGGTCTGTTGTTCTACGGCGGCGTCCAGTGCCCCTTGCTCTTTGCGTACGGCCTTCTCGAAGCCATGCCTGACAACACCTAACCACAGTGACTACACTTCTTTGCACTCTAACTGCAATTGCCCGAAAAGAA